TGATTTGATATTACTGAATCAATATTAAATCAAAATGAAAGTACATTTATTATTAGTCAAAAAACAATATCGAATGAAATATTACAAAGACTTGATGAAAGAAAAAATCAATCATGGTTAATATTTACTAAAGATGATGAAAATAATAAAAATAATTAATATTCATAATTCAAATTTAGATATTATTTGTTCTGGAATATCAATTCTATTAACTATTTATAAACAAGTATCTATTATTTTTGCATGGCAACTTGATCAAACATTACTTAATGGAAATAATGATGATTTAGCATTGAAACAAAATGAAGAACTTATATGTGGAACATTATCACGTATTCTTCAAACAATTCAAAATTCATCACCATATTTTCATCCATTTGTATATGTTCTTACAGATCATGCTCAATTTAATAATGATTCGAATCTTAATATAATTCCATCACCATTTATTGGTCTTGCACGAAGTTTAATAACTGAATATGAACGACATCGATTCAAACTTATTGATCTTCAAACATCATTAAATAATAATAATCAGTCAGCATTTATTCATACTTTAGTAGAATATATGATTAATTCAAGATATTCAAGTGATACTTGTGAAGTTGTTCTTCGTCTTAATGATACAAATCAAAATCAAGTTCAACATTTAACATGGCATTATGAAATGTTACAAAAACCTGTTGATCATGAACAGGAGAAATCTGAATTAGAACAAATTTCTATTATTCCTAAACGAGATGCTGTTCAAAAACCATTTCGTCTTTGTGTACCACAATCTCGTTTTCTTTCTGAATTAACATGGATTGAAGAAGAGAGAGAAAAAGAATTATTACCACCAGGTATGGTTGAAATTCGTGTTCATTGTGTTGGTATTAATTTTCGTGATGTACTCAAATCACGTGGTCTTTATCCACATACGCGTCCTTTTGCACAATCTGATGAAAATCAACCAAAACTTGATCGAGATACAGAACCAGGTTCAAATTTTGTTGATACTATTATACGTGTAGGTCCTACAACAACTAATTTTCAAGTTGGTGATCATGTTATAGGTGCTACTAGTCTTGGTGCATATCATTCTCATATTATGATTAATTCACAACTTATAATACGTATTCCATCTAACATTCCTCTTACTGATGAACAATTATGTGGTATGCCAACTCCACTTTTAACAGTTATATATTCTCTTAAATATCGTGTTCATTAAAAACCTAATGAAACAGTTCTTATTCATGCTGCAACAGGTGCTGCAGGTCAATGGTGTATTCAATATTGTCAATATATTGGTGCTCGTATTTTTGCTACAGCTGGAACTGAAGAAAAACGACGTTTTCTTCGCGAACATTATCATATTGAGCATGTATTTAATAGTCGAGATACTTCTTTTGTTAATAATATACGTGAAATTCTTCCACAAGGTATTGATGTTATTATTAATTCATTATCAGGTAATTTACTCAAAGAATCAATTAAATTATTAGCATATAATGGTCATTTTGTTGAATGGCGTAAATGAGATATTTATCATAATAATATTCTATCAATGTTTCAATTACGATCAGATTGCAGTTTTCATGTTATTGATTTTATAGCACTTACTGATCATATATTACCTCTTATTCGTCTTATGTCAGAAGAAGCAATTGATTTATTTATTCAACATAAATTACGTGTTGTTGAACCAACAGTTACGTAGTTATGAACCATCTCAAGTAACAGAGCATTATTAAAATGTAATAGTGGTCAAGTTATGGGTAAAACAATTATTCGTATAACTTCATCTGATCAACCATTAATTATTAGTAGAGAACAATCTAATAGTATATTAAAAGGTAATCATCATATTTTATATTTTATTTCAATTATTATTTTTTTAATTGATAGTTGTAAGTGATAATACAATGTTTTCATCAGAAGTTTGTAATGAAGGAACAATTTTAATATCTGGTGGTTTTGGTGGTCTTGGTTTAACAATGTCTCGATGGATGATTGAACAACGAGGTGTTAAACATATAGCACTTATGAGTCGTCGAACATTAGTTGAACTTGAAAAACCTTCGAATCCACAAAATGATGATTGGTTAAGATTAAAACGAATAACAGCAGAATATAATGCTCATGTTGATGTTGTTCAAGCAGATGTGACGAATTTTCAATAAGTTCATGATTTAATTGAAAGATTTCAAAAAACTTCTTATCCTATTCGTGGTATTATTCATAGTGCTGTTGTTGCAGAAGATCGCACTTTAAATAATTTAACACAAGAACATTTATCATTTGTTTTACCACCAAAAGTTCGTGGTGCATGGTATCTTCATCAAGCTACACAACTTCTTCATGCACCTATTCATTTTTTTATTATGTTCTCATCAATTCGAAATCATTTACTTGAAGTTTCATCTGCTGGTTATAATGCCAGTAATCAATTTCCTGATGCACTTGCTCATTATCGTTTTACAAAATTTACTTTATCAGCACTTTCAATTAGTTTACCAGCTGTAAATGGTGCTGGAATGTTTCATCGTCATAAAGAAATGCTTAGTACTTTGAAATTTACACAAGGTTTTGAATTAATGCCAACAATAACTGTATTCGAATTAACTGAATTTTTTCATCAAACTCAAAAGATTTGTTCATGTCCTGTTATTTTTGCTGTTAATTGGCAAACATTACATCGAAATTATTTAACATTAGCTACATCTTATCTAAGAAAAATAGTTGATCAACGTTATAAAGAGATGAAATTTGATCAAATATCATCATTATCATTATTAGAAAAAACTAATTCAACTGAGTCTAATATGAATAAAAAAGAAACTATTATTGAACGAACTCAATCAGCTATTGCACGATTATTAGGTGCAACTAGTGTTGATCGTATAGTTATTGATCGTTCACTTGTTAGTCAAGGTATGGATTCATTAGCTGCTGTTTCATTATATAATTGGTTAGGTCAAGAAACTGGCATTTATATATCATTAACTGATCTTCTTCAAGGACTTTCAATTGAAACGATTGCAACACTTGTTTATAATAAACTTAATGAAAAAGAACAAACAAAATCATCAGCTGCAAAAGAACAAGATTCAGATTTTGATTTAGTTAATGAAAATGAAGTTCAATTTTCTAATACATCAACATATACTGGTTTAGAAAATATTATTTGTCTACGTCGTTCGAATCAAAATAATACTTCAACTCTTTTTTGTATTACTCAAATATCAAATGATAATAATAATGAAGATTTATTTACATTATTTATTCAGAAATTATCTAATCAAAAAAATAAAATATCATCAAATGATATGTATGCTTTACAAATATCATCATCTCTTTCTTCATCCTCTATATCTACATATGCTCAAAATCTTATTACACAAATGCGTCGTATTCAATCATGTGGATCTTATCAAATAGTAGCTATTAGAAAGAAACCAGAAGAAACTATTGCTCATGAAATGTTAGAACAACTGAAAATACATTGATTCATTAATAATACTCGATTACATGTTTTAGATGCTCAAAATTAAAATATATTCGCAATTATCTTATTTATTCAAGTATTTATAATTTATTCACTTCTAAACTTCTTATTTGTTTTTTCTTATTCATTGAATCTATTTCATATATATTAGTTCTCGTAGTAGAAAAACATTTGTAGATTTCTTAACAATTAAAATTGAGAAATTTTTTGGGTAAAAATCTTAAATTTTATTTTTCTATTAAACATAAATCAATTTCATCATCAATCATATGAATACACTTTTAAATAAATCTATCAATGAATAGACTTACAATTATCATTAATAATACATATATGTAATACTTAGAAAACATTTTGATTTTATCGTTTCGAAGCAAAAAACAAAAGTTCGAATTTGAATTGTTTAGTACATTTTGATTTATTAAAACTTCGTAATAATACTCATCAAACTGGAAAAAATTTGAAGTTAAGACAGCAGCTTCCGATAGTTATCATACTATGACGTGTGATTAAGACACATATTTATTATTTTTATATATTTAGCCATTACTAGCAAATCCATCGACAATAAATTCACCTACAAACGTTCCACCGGCTACTACTACAACTAATTCTTCAGTCGTTCCAATATTATCTAGTCCATCATCAAATAATTTATTTGATGATTCAATTGATCATGTCTGGGTATCATTTCCTTTACCCATCACATCACTCACATTCAACATCGAATTCATCCAAACGACCACGTACAAGTACAGCTAGTGCAAAACAAACTACTACAGCACCTAAAAAACTTTTTTCATATACACTTTATGATCGAAAATATTTCTTTCAACATTATCACCATACAAGTGGTATACGATTAAATGATAGTAATCATGATAATGAAACAACTTATTATACGGATATTACACGTGAATATGCTGGTTCAGTTGAACAATTATTTAAAATCTTACTTGAATATGCTGATGTTGAAATATCCGTTTCATCATCAATTGAACCATTATTCGAAAAATTAGGCCAAACAGTCCTTGCTTCAGCATAAATTACACGATTTGATGTTAAAATTTTACCAAATGAATCAACAAATGAATATCAATCATTAATCCGTCATCCTCCACAATCACCACCATCAGTCGTTCAATTTCGTTCACCACATATTCGTCAATAAATATTAAATACATCAAATGAATTAGCAATACTTTCCGTAACTAATTTAAGTATTCAAAGTGTTAGTAGACAATCATTTGAATATGATTAATTACATTCTTCTAATGTACAAGCTGGTGTACGTGTTCAATGTGTACAACAAGAAGTTAATTTATCATTCATGCATTTTGTTTATCAATTTTATACAGCTGTTGGTAATGCACTCGAATATACAGGTATTGATGAAATAACAAAATCAGATACGAATGCAAATACAAATGAATAACAAAATAATTTACAAGATAATTCTACTATTCTTACATCTGAAAATGGTATTCAAACTCTTGTTTTAAAATTATTTGAATCGAATATTCTTCATTTTGATAATAATGAATTAGATAATGCTGAACGACAATGTTGAAAAAAATTACATAAACTTGTTTCTAATTATAGAATTTTATCAGAAATAAAACCAAATCAACCGTCAATAATATCACGAAAACAACAACAACATCCAACACGTCATATGGCAATAAATGTAACAAACGAAACACTTTTACTTTCGTCATTTGGTTGGTTAATTATTGATGAAATATATTATGCAGCTTCTTTAGGTGGTTTAAAAGTTGATGGTTGTATGAAAAAAGTTCAAAGAAATGTTAGTTTATCACAAAGACTTCGAGCTTTACAATCAACAACAAATAATCAAAATACAAAGAAGTAAGATCAAGATTAATATTACACACTTAATTAATTTTAATATTTAGATATGATGGTTCATTAATTCTTCAAATTGGTTCAACATCACTTTCTTTAAAAGAAACTCTTTCAACGTCTACCGATAATCTTCCATCGACAAATATTCCAACAGTTCATCCATCATCTTCTAGTACTACTTCATCCACTCGACAAATATCTGTTCTTGATATAATTGTTGGTAAATCTCAAGCATTAACATCACTTCAAACACGTGGTATTAATTTAACATTAAGTGGTGTAACAAATATTGGTACAATTGCAATGGATGTACCATTAAGACCACAAGAAGTTCATGATCTTGTTAATCGTATTGGTCGTTTAATAACATCGTATGTTCAAGAATTTCTTCCCGATGATACACAACAAACATCTTCAATGCCAATAACAAACAATACAAATAATGAATTAATTAATACAAGTTTAAATGATACTATAGAAGAACCTCATATACCAATTATATTACAACAAACAACAACAAGAAAACGTTTAAGTACACATCGTAAAGATACAATTAATCGTACTATTAATCCACGTTCATTAGAAACTCAACAAAATATATCAACATCATCGAGACGATTTATATTTGAAGTTTATGTAACAGTAAATTGCGAAAGAACGACATTTTTTACAATACTTCTTTCAACATTAAAAGCTCATTATAAAATCGGTGTTGTTGAAGGTGTTGCTAATATTGGTGGAATGAAATCACGTTTTACAGCTATTATACATGAATATGTATTACATTTTCTAAATAATAATAATCATGATCATCAACAACCTCCAACAATTAATTCAGATAATCACGTACGAATTCATTTTTCTGAAATACGTTCTTATGGAGATTATTCTATCCAACAAAAACAAGAAAGTAAAACAAAAAGTCATTTAAATCTTCGTACAAAAATTGATGTACTTAAATTAACTATAGCAGCTGATTTTCTTGCACAATTAGTTTTTGTTCCAAAAGTAATTATACATGAAATAAATGAAATTCTTGCAAAAGTTTCTGGATTTGATGAATTTCATTTTGGAACAACAACAAAACATACACGTTTATCATTATCATCAACAGCACCTATTATACGTATTGGTTCAACAGATACAGAAAATGAGGATCACGATGATGATGAACCAGAAAAAGATCAACAAACAATACCATCAACATTATTTACATATAAAATAGATATATCAATGAAAGGTTTTGAAGTTATGGGGCAAATGCCATCAAATACAATAGTTAAATATGAAAACAGTGATAAAAAAGTAGCAATATTTGTTAAATTAACAAATTATGAAGAAATAAAATTTATTATTACTCCATAATAAATCATCAATTAATACTCTCTTAAATATTAAACTTAGTTTAGAACAATTATTACACACAGGTAGTTTTCAAGATGCTGCTCATTTTGAGACAAAATTATTTAAAAAAAATTCATTACAAGTATGTTACAAGTTTTTTTCTCTTTTAACAAAAAACTTAATTCTTATTTTAGTCGGATGATTCAGATAAAGAAGCTTATTTTATTCGTTTAACAAAACCAAGTTTCTATTGACAACCCGGTGCTGTTGGTAAAGGTATACAAAACTTCTTCTTGTTTTGTTTTTTTCATTCAATGTCTTTTACATATAGGAGTACTTTTTTGATTAAATTATAAAAATACATATGAACATTGGAATGAACAACGTGGTGCATTTACAACTACAACAAGTGATTCAACACGTTTACGTTCAATTGTTAATGTTCCAACATCTCCTGTACCTAACAGAGAACTTAATCTTATGTTTCAATTACATATTGTTGATTTAGATATTGCTATACCACTTCAACAATATGACCCATCAACAAAATTAACAACAACAGATAATATAACACCATCCGGAATAACAACTCAACAATCTATTCCTAAACTTGATAAAACAACAATATCAACATGTTCATGTGATGCAATAATACGTTCAAGTTCATTTAAAGGTTTTTATTTTCGTCTTTTGCTGAAAATTTTCAACAAACAAATAAAAACTGGGAACTTACACGTTTCTTATCATCACCAAATATTATTTTAAGTGTATGTTGTGTACCAAGTAGACAATATTTAATGCATTCACGTGCTAAACATATACTTAATTCTCCTAGTCCAAAATGGTTTTTAAATGTTTAATAGAATATGAAAGTTATTAATATAAATTTTGATTCAATTATTGGTAAACGTTTTTCACAATTAATTCGTACAATAACATCAACACATTTAATTGAACCAATTGATCATTTAAATAATGAAAATAATTCTTCACCAAATTCAAATTTATTAAATATACAACCTGGTAATACAAAAAATATTTTAGAAAATATTGATGAAAGTGATGATGATGATGAAAGAATAAAACGATTAGAATATGAACATTTAATATCAGGACAAAAAATTGAAGCATTAAAGTAAAATATATTTGAAATATGACATTTTTTTAATATTTTTGTTTAATAGACGATCTCAAACATCTTATGAAACATTAAAAGCAGAATTAACAAGATATGAATGGTTGGTAAATGCAACGACGAATGTGTTATAGATAAGGAGACAGTAAGCTATTTATTACTATTCATAGTAATTAGTTTCTTATGAAAGTATATATGAAAATCTAGTATCGCATAGCCAAATAAGTTTTATAGTCACTACAGCAACAAAAACATATTATTACTATTCAACAACAAATGAATTATTACGACGATCAAATATATCAATGATTCGAATCTTAATTTATGTTCGATGTTCTGTTCTATGTATTTATGTGCGTGTCTTTATATAAATCGAATACGTTTTCGTTTTTTAATATTCATAATTATACAGCATTGTTTCATGTGAATCATTTTCATGTTTATTAATATCAAAAAAAAACGAAGATAAATTTAATACAATTATCTTTTTATTTAGTCTGGTCATAATCGTGATCGAAATCGTATTGATCCAGCAAGTTATAAACGAACACAATCATATGATCCTAGTAGACCTTCACATCATACTCAGTAAGTTTCTCTTTTAATTAGCGCACTTTCGTTTTCTCCCAAAGTATAGAAAGAAAAATCCATATATTGCTTCGTATATCCATGCTAATAGTACGCAGCGTTATTAACTGGTGTAAGCAGCCACACTTGCCTCGTCGTCAGGTTTACACCGTCAACGAATGTAAGATTTAGTTTCGTGCTTTAAACACACTCAAATTTTTTTTAAAAAAGTATGCTTTTATACAATATATTGCTTTGCTTTGCTGTTCCAAGCAGCACAATAAAATAAATTAATATGATTCTACTTATCAGATATTAATAAAAAGCATGAAGTAATTTGAAAAGAGATATGAAATGATCAATAATAACTATATGAATAGTTTTCTAATTTTTTTGTTTGTTTGTTTATAGTTCGAAAGTGGGGGACGACCATCATCAATACATGAAGATGAGACAGAAAACGGAACAACACGAGCATCAAATGTTAGTATTCGGTAAATATTTAAGATTTTCAATTTAGATTTAAGTTTTTTTTATCATATAAATTAGTAGAATATAGATAGAATTCGAGTTCAATTTGATATGTATAAGATTTAGTTTTATAATAAGTTTATTATTGTAGGTTTCCATCACAAGATCCATCAATGTTCGATGATCATCAATCAATGACAACTAATACACCAAATGAAATGATATCTGCACCAGCTGTAGATTTAGAATTAAATTTTCAAATTCAAATTGCTAGTGGTTCATGTAATCTGTATACAAGTCGTGATTTAATATCAAATTCATCATTTACCACAGCAAATCCAACTAAACAACAGCAATCTCAAGTAAATATTGATTCAAGTGTATATATAAATAAAACTGAATACCAAGTATCACAGACTTTTCTTACCGGGTGTTGATGCTGATATACATTACAATTCTAAACATAATAATACTATGAATAGTGCATTAAATAAACGAGCTAGTTTTCATTCTCGTGCTATGATACAATAGCCTACAATACAAATAACTATGCATTCATTATTATATGATTTTCTTGAACAGACACGTGAACATGTAACATTACCACAAGAGCAAGATAGACAAACTAATTTATAACAAGAATAAATGTAAAATGTTAATGAATAAAATTCTAATAATGATTAGTTAAAAACAATGTAAGTTTATTGATGAATATCTACATTCTCTTTTTCTTATAGAAGAATCCAGTAACAACAAAGTATTTACTTGCTTGTATATCCGCAGTTCAACAAAAATCAACAACACTACCTTCTACCAGCCCAACTTACAATATCTGGTCCGCGACTGATGCAACTAGTATTTATACTCATTTGTCAACGCGAGGTTATCAATATGGATCTTCTTCTCGAAATATACAATCACTATGTGGTACGACATCTACAGTTATTGATCAAATTCATAGCAATGTTGATGCAATTATTGATCTCTCTTATTATCATTTGCTTCATCCAATTATTTTGGATATGTTTTTGCAGCCATCTGTACTTTTGTTACCTGGTGTTGATTTTCCAGTCCTTCCTGTTAGTATTCAGAAATTTGTTGCTACGAACAAAATGAACACATCTCATTCAGATGTTGAATTGTCAGGAAAGCATCATAATATCATTTGTGGCTTAGGTCAAGAACGAGCACATAATCTTGATATATTGGTTCTACCAAGTGGTGACACGATAGACAACGAATCGATGATCATTTTTGAAGGTCTTGTAAGAGTGAGGGTGGGTATGTATGTAGAAGATTTACACATCAATTTCATCTTCATACACACACCCTAAGGAAAAGGTGCAAATACATCACATATTCTGAATGCTAAAACACCTTTTTGCTATTACTAAAATATGAGAGAAGAGTAAGTCTTGACCGGCCTATATTTTTATTTCAGATATTGTTTGAAAAATGCCTTTCTACAAAAAAGTTCAGTTGAAAGTTATGAACGACTCAAAATATGGTGTCGATGAGAAGGGTCTATTCGCAGTGGAAAAAATTTCCAAAGGTGAAGAATTAATTTACGAATACGATCCTTTGGTCGAGGAGTGGCCGTTTTATCCTGATAATGATAGACGAGGAAAATATACCGAAGCAGAATTATTCAAGTTGATTGAAAATAACCCAAAATTAAGCAAACTCATTAATTATCAAGCATACATGGTTGACGATAATCTATTTAATGTTCCATTTAAATATGCAATCATGGATTCTGATACTATTGATGATTGTGAAAAGCGCTTTCCCCATACTTTATTCATTAACCATTCTTGTGACCCAAATATTGGCTTTATTGAAGTCACAAAATGCTACGCACTACGAGACATTGATATTGGTGAAGAAATAACACAGAATTATGGATGTCTTGCGACCGAAAATTCTCTTATCGTTGGAATAAAATGCCAATGTGGGTCAAAAGATAAATGTCAACAAATTCTTCGCATGGATTTTTATAAGGACCCAATATGGCGACAAGAAAACGAACGATATTGCTTCCCCTATGTTAAAAAGAAGATCCAAGAATTACTATATAACAACGAAACAATTGCTAAAAGTAAGTAATTTCGAACGAGCTATTCCAGTTAGTGAATAAGTCATCTAAATCATAATGGAACCTTTCGTATTAGTTAACAGCTATCTTAACTATAGCCTGGCCAAATCCTCAGTTTCATCACCAAACTATCAAATTCAAAATATTACATTCATATAAAGAGCCTCGACTGAAATAATCGATTTTTAAAAAGGAGTTTCTGAAAAGATTAGCTACTTAAGGACATCAATAATGGTGAGATGACTTATAATTGTGTGCTTTTTTATGTATGGAAGAGGACCGTGAGTTATTTGCTTCCTGAAATTATCAGTTCTATCCAATGAGATTTCGATGTGTAGTGATCAAAAAACATAATCCAAACATTTTGATGGCTTTCACGCATTATTCATCATATAAAATATGCTAAAATCTCTGTTAGATGTGTTTAATGCGGTAAGATGTATGAAGCCTGAAATTTTTATAGCAAATAGATCGAAACGAGCACACTTCATGATAAAAATTTCGGGCTTGGTACATGTGCCACATAAAACGCACTTAACTGAGATTTTGGCATATTTATTTTATGAATAATGCTTGAAAGCCAATAAAATAACTGGATCATGTTTTTTGATCATTACAAATCGAAATCTCATCGGATAGAGCAATCATTTTCAACAATTAAGTTTATGTGATTGATTAGGAACTATTCGGTGAGGATATATATTGATTGTAAAGATGAATCTGCTATATGTGTTTCTTCTGTTGCATACTAGCTCTTATTTTTTTTACTTAGCTGCTATAATTGAGCAACAGATGTCAATGACGGATGCTAGTATGTTTTGGCGTGATGTTCTCCATGGTTATAAGCTTGATCGATCTCTACCATTACCGTTTGATCGATATCGTCTTGTGGATGAAGATCGAACTGGTCGTGGAATATCTGTTTCCGTCGATTTCGGTGAAGATCTCTCACATTACTTCCTTCATTATGCATCATCAATGAATATAAAACTCGAACATCTTGTATTTGCCATTGATTATGCTTTTATGTTCAAGTTAACAAATGGAGAGACGGATTTGTGTGTTGCAGTTAATACCGATAGTCAACATAGAGATGAATTCAAAACAATGATTGATTTGTTCGAAAATATCGTTCCATTACGATGTCAACTAGATCCTCATTGGTCTTTCCAACAGCTGATGGAGCATACTTGTGAGATAATAACAAGTACTATACAGTATTCTTACTTTCCTCTAAAACGTATTCTTGCCCAATATTCCAATGCTTCAAAGCCTGCATTTCTCGACACATCATTCGAATTTCTATCAAATGAAAATGTCAAGAACAAAATAATGTTTAATGATAGTCGACTTCGTACTATGTTAGTGACCTCAATCAGAGGTAATGACGAGGAAATCATGAGTAACTTCGATTTTTCTCTCACTATGCAACATAATTCGAAAACTAATCAACTATCATGCACAATCAATGGATCACTTGATCTGTTCAATCGAAATACAATTGAAAAGATTGGACAACGATTTCATTCGATCTGTAAACAATTGTTTGCATCTATTCGTGACCAAACAAATCAATCAATCTATGAACTATCATTAGTAATGCCCGATGAAAGATTACTCTTGCAATCAATGAATAATACAGAAATATCATTTTCATCTCCTGTCACTTTTATCCATCATGAATTTGTATATCAAGTAATGAAACATCCACAAAAACTAGCTGTTGAACTTGATGAGCAATCATTAACATATTGTGAACTTTTACATTATGTTCAAATGTTATCTTTAACTCTTCGCAATGAATATCATGTGTTTCCAGGCGAGGTCGTGTGTCAATGTGTTGAGCGAAGTGTCTCAATGGTAAGTTAATTAAGAAGAATGACAATTAATGTGAGTTTGAGATTGATTTTGACTAGGTAATTGGTATTATGGGAATTGAAATGGCTGGTGGTGTTTATTGCCCATTATCACCTCGAGATCCACAACATCGTTTGCATGCACTCACACAACAAACACAAAGTCGCCTTGTTCTTGCTCATTACTTAACTAAGACCAAGTTTCTTCAGAGCATTGTATTACTTGATATCGACTTAATAGTGTTGGACAACGAGAGAGGGGATATAGACAATATAGATGGACTATCAGATATTATAGTAGCATCGAACAGTATGGCTTACATCATCTTCACGAGTGGTTCAACAGGAACACCGAAAGCAGTTAGTCAAAAATGATATCTTTCTTGATGTCATGAAAATAGTTTGTCTTCTTTTAGGCTCAAGTACGACATCGAAATTTCAGTCGGTATATGTACTCATTAGTATGTGGTGATGTATTGACGGAGAAGGATACAATTTTGCAAATATCCCGTTGTTCGTTTGATACACATGTTCAAGATATTATGGGCACATTATCAACTGGAGCTACCCTTGTAATGTTGCATCCAGGAGGAATTATTGATCTGGAGTATCTTACTAACGTCATCAGAAAGAAGAATGTTACATGCTTTACTAGTGTACCAACTATTCTTCAACATTTATTTGATTTTGTGAAACGATCTAATGATAGCTCATCTTTAATAAGTCTGCAATGCGTTTGCACTGGTGGTATGTAATCTTTCGAGCGAATGTCTTTTTTCACGTACCATTTTTTTAATTTTCTAAAGGTGAAAAGTGTTCTGTCAATCTGGTAAACCTAATTTTAAGTTTAGTCGCGGATCACTGTAAACTGTGGAACTTTTACGGTCCAGCTGAAGCGACCATTGTTTGCACCTTCTACAGAGTAAGTCTCATAGCTGATACACAAAGCATACCAATTGGGAGACCACTTTCGAATTACCAATGTATGACTATGAATGAATATTTACAATCATCTGCGAACGGCCAAGAAGGTGACCTGTATGTCGGAGGAGTGGGTGTATTTGCTGGTTATCTTGAACGTGATGACTTAACTGCAAAAGCTCTTGTCGAAATAGATGGTGAATTGTTTTATCGAACTGGTGATCTTGTTACAATGGATAACAATGGTCTACTCCATTATCGAGGAAGAAAAGATCATCAAATCAAACTTCATGGACAACGAATTGAACTTGGTGAAATCGAACGATGTTTACTTAACATTATATCCATCTCTGCTTGTATTGTCATGAAGTGGAACGATAATTATTTAGTTGCTTATGTTCAAAGTTCTGATATTAATGAAGTCCAACTACGAGAACATTGTCAATCTCATCTTCCCCCACATATGATACCATCAGTATTCATTATACTTGACAAACTACCTTTGAATCAAAATGGTAAAATAGATCGAAAACTTCTTCTTCCACCTGACTTCTCATCTACACATCTCACAAACAGTACAGAACTATTACTACCAACAAATGAAATTGAAGTAACTATTCATCAGATTTGGTGCGATGTTTTTCTACAGAATCAGATCTCAATAGACACAAATATTTTTACTATCGGTGGTCACTCACTACTTCTTATACAACTGTATCAACTGTATAGCAGCAAATTTCATTTAAAAAGAGCCAGTTTTTGTATTGCTAATCTTTATCAACATCTAACAATTATCGATCATGCTCGATTCATTAGTCAGCTAATAATTAACCAGCAAAAAGATCAAAAACTTTTATCTGAAGGTATGTCTGTCTGTTGAGTTGATTTTACATATATTTTTTCTCTTAGAACAATCATTTCCTGTTGAGGAATGCATTCATATCGATTCTGAAGACAATATCGTGCTTATAATCGATGAGTCATCAAAGTACCAACCGTTTCCTGTCACAGAAGTTCAACAAGCCTATTTGATTGGACGAGAGAATTTACTTGAACTTGGTCATGTTTCTTGCTTTTCCTATGAAGAATATGATTTGCCATCAACACTAGATATTGAACGATTAGAGCAAGCATTGAATTATTTGATCCACCGTCATGAAAGCTTGCGTACTATTTTTCCATCTAATATAGAACAGAAATTTCTAGAAAAAGTTCCTTATTACAGAATATCTGTACTTGATTTAAATACTAGCATATCTGTAAAAAATCAACTAATGGAACGACGAAAACAACTGTCGCATCAGATTCGTCCGGCGAATCGATGGCCACTATTTGATATTCAAGTCACTCGTTTTACCATTGATGATGAATTTCATATACGTTTACACATTGGTTTTGATCTCCTTATAAGAGATTTTTGGAGCTGGAACTTAATTATGTATGAATTAAATGAACTGTATTTGAACCCAAATATTAGATTGGCGCCATTAAAAATCTCTTATCGAGATTATGTTTTAACAGAAAGTCAATATATAAATACAATTAACTATCACAATGATAAAAAATATTGGATTGATCGTTTAAATTCATTCCCATTAGGGCCTAATTTACCATTACGATGTACATTAAACGAAATACGAGCACAACGATTTCATCGGTCAACATTAACATTAGACAAATTATTTTGGCAAAAATTGAGACAATATATTAGTGCTCAACAATTGTCACCAGCTGGTTTTTTAGCATCTGCCTATGCTATTATTTTATCTAAATGGAGTGAAAATCAACATTTTACTTTAAATTTACCAATTTTTAATCGATTACCAATTCATTCTCAGATTAATGATATAGTAGGCGATTTCACAACAATTTTGCCATTAGAGATAGATTTAACTAAGCCAATTATTTTCATTGAGTTTGTTCGCAAAGTTCAAAAACAGTTATGGAACGATCTTGACCATGTGTCATATAATGGAGTATCATTTATTCGAGATTTGATGCACATTCATCAAACAAAAGGAATTGTTTTGCCGTATGTTTTTACCTGTGGAATAGATATTAACAACATAAATCGAAAAAATACTTCACATCATATGTTCAGTCAAGATAAACAAGTGTATGGCATTACTCAAACACCTCAAGTTCTTCTCGATCACATCGTTTATGAACATAACGGAAACTTGTTAGTACATTGGGATTATGTACAGAATTTATTTTCATCTCAATTAATCAATGATATTCAAGATACATTTATCGATCTCCTCCAAAAATTGGCTTTATTTGATGAAATGTGGCAAAAGCCTCTTCTCATTTCATTACCACTTAAACAACAAGAACGACGATTAGAATTCAATCAAACACAATGGAAATCAAACATTAAAGGTAAATTACTTCATTCGCTCGTCATCAAACAAGCTGAATTAACACCTGATGCATTAGCTATTCTCTCTTCTAAAATAAATCTAACATACAAACAACTGATGAATCATGTTTATTCATTGGCATACCATTTGCAGCAACAAGAAAAATATTCAAATCAGTTAGTTGCTATTCTAATGACAAAAGGATGGGAACAAGTAGTCGCTTGTCTAGCTATTTTAGTATCGGGTGGTGCTTATTTACCTTTGGATGTTGATTCACCAAACGATCGTCTTTGTTCATTAATCGAAGAAACTAATGTCACAATTATTCTTACTCAATCTCATTGTGAACATGCATTTCCATATCTAACAACTATTTCAGTTGATACACTCTCAATTGATGATAATTATCCAACACCATTTCCTATCAAACAACAATCAACAACTGATTTAGCTTATGTTATTTATACATCCGGATCAACTGGAAAACCAAAAGGTGTTATGATTAGTCATCAAGCTGTTGTGAATACTATTTTAGATATGAATTCAAGATTAGAGATCTCAACTGATGATAGAATATTTGCATTATCACATCTCAATTTTGATTTATCAGTTTATGATATATTTGGAATATTAATTGGTGGCGGAACTATAGTAATTCCAAATCATGAAGATTATAAAAATCCTGAACATTGGTATGATATGATAATGAAATATCATGTCACTATTTGGAATAGTGTTCCAATGCTTATGCAAATGTTTGTTGAACATCTCAAACATACGAATAATCATAATCAATTACGACATATCTTACTTAGTGGTGATTGGATGCCACTGTCTCTACCAAAATCGATACAAACAACATTTGGTGAACAAGTAACAATAACTAGTTTAGGTGGTGCAACAGAAGCATCGATTTGGTCAATTGCCTATACTCTACCAAAAAAAATATCACAAGAATGGAAATCAATTCCTTATGGAATACCGTTAAGAAATCAACAATATTATGTTTATGATATGCATCTTGATGATTGTCCTGAATGGGTCATCGATGAATTATATATTGGTGGTGAAGGTTTAGCTAATGGTTATTGGAACGATCAAGAAAAAACACAATCAAGTTTTATTATTCATCCATTAACTAGTAAACGTCTCTATCGAACAGGTGACTATGGTCGCTTTTTACCAAATGGATATATTGAATTTACTGGGCGAAAAGATTTTCAAGTAAAAGTACATGGTCATCGTATTGAACTTGGTGAAATTGAGCATCATTTACAACAACATCCAGATATTCAACAAGCTATTGTTAATTACGATGACAAATCTCAACACTTAATTGGATATATTATGCCAGAAACATATTCTATTCATAATAAAGAATATGATTCAACAGAAGTATTAATCGTTGATCCTATTGAACGTATCAATTTTAAGCTTGCAAGACATAGCATAAGATATCAAAAGAAGGTAGAAAAGAGCTTTGCTCTAACAAAACCAAAGCTTACAGAAACATTGATCAATACATATTATATGAGGAAAAGCTATCGACAATTTACAAATGAAACTATTGAAAGATCTACTATCGAAAAGTTGTTAAAAAACTGTCACAATAGCAATAATAACGAAAAAATATCTTTAACTCACCTCGATTTTGGTATTCTTAGTCAACTATTAGCAGTATTAACATCGATCAGTATTTCTGATCAACCTTTACCGAAATATCGTTATGCATCAGCTGGCAGTCTTTATCCAGTACAGGTATATGTTGAATTACCAACATTTATAGATAATATTTCGCCTGGTGTTTACTATTATGATCCAGACGAACATACTCTAGAGCTAATTGGTACTCATATTAATGATGAAATGATGAATATAAGATTACATCTTGTTGGACGATCATCAGCAATTGCCCCGCTATATGGTAAAAGATTGGGTTCTCGATTTTGTATGCTAGAAACAGGATATATTATGGGGTTATTGGAAAAAGAAGGGTCAAAACTGGGATTAACATTTTCGAAAAATACTCATAATGAATCTATAACTCGCGATATTTTGAATATAGATGAGAATGATACGCATTGCTGTTTCAAAATTTCATCATTTAAGGAAAATATTTCTAAAAATATACAAAATGACAATCATCAATGTATTATTTATCTAAAATCGGTCAACAATAACAAAGACCAATGGTTTGTTTATAACAAAGAATATGATATTGTTACACCTTTTGATGTCAAAACTGAAACTACACAAGAGAAACCACCACTGTTCTTTGATGATGACGATGATGCGAAGATTATATTCCATGATTGTCAATGTGCAATCTTCTTCAGCGGACAATCAGAAGACACAATCAATATAGGTAAGTTGTCACATTTATTAATGGATCATTGTTTAGAAATGAATATTGGCATGTGTCCAATTGGTGCTCGTACGAGTTTTCCAAAACAAATTAATGATGCATTAGATACTGTTCTTATTCATGAGAAACTAAATGGAAGTAACATATTACATACATTACTTATTGGAAAGATTAGTAATAAACAAAAATATGAACATGCTATTTCAAAAGTGAAATCAATGCCAAACTGGAGTGAAACATTACGAATATATCTAAAGAAAAAGCTACCAATGTATATGGTACCATCACATTTTATGAGTGTTTCATCGATTCCGTTAAGTCCAAATGGTAAAATCGATCGAAAAGCTTTACCAGAAATACCAATATCAGTGCTTCAACAAGAAGATACCTATAATGCACCAAATACTGAATTAGAACAGGCGGTTGCGAATATTTGGCAAGAAATATTATACAAAAATCAACGTATTATACAACATGGTGATCTGGGATTGAATAAGGTGGCATCTATTGCAAACGAAACAGTATCTTCGACATATTATCCAACTATAAATGTCTCTGGTGTAGACAAACAAACGCCTTGTGCTATACCTACTACAGCTAGTTTCTCCAGCGTTGGCGGCAATTCTCTTTTACTTGTCAAGATCTATCAACGTTATCAATCAAAATTTAATTTTGAAACAGAAGCACTGAGTATTCAACCATTCTTTGGATATAACACTATACGAGAACATGCAAAACTACTTGAAACAGTCATCATCGATAGTACACAACTAAAACAATGGCATACACTGAATATTAATGAAGGTAAGATAGTTTTAATTTACTTTTTAAATAGCTGAGAATATTATTTTCATAAATTTTAATGCCGGGTTGTAAATTGATGGGTAACAATCGACTTTATCCTTTTACACTCGTAATGAAAAATGATTTATTGCAATCAAACACTCAATGGAAAGGACTTCCTGCACGTAGGTTATCTAGATAGATGATGCTAGGCACATTTGTATTTTAATATTATTAAGACGTTAGATAGTATTCTGTAAATTTCAGTTTGTTCATGATGATTTTGGATATTTCTTTATCTGCATTATTGAACGCATGACTTTCTTGAACTTCCCATCTATCATATTCTCTAAATTTCTTGTAATGATATATATATTTATTTGGCCCTGTCGTATGATTTGCTCTGCGTCTCAGGATGAAAAAGTGAATGAATAAGTCATTTTGTATTATTGACGACAAGCGACTGAAAAATTATTTAGCCAACACGATATGTCTTATAAAATAAGTTTTCTTCCCATTAAGTTTTCAATTGATCATTATGCATGATATATTCAACGTATTCAATATACTTTTGTGGTCATTTATGACTTGTTGTAATATACATCAAATTTAAATATATTTTTCCATTAGATTTGATTATAAGCTATCTATTCAAATCTTATCAAATAGAGATTTGTATTGCATATTGATAAAAAAAATTACCGGATTTCTTCGTAACATGAAACTAATCGATGAGGCATATGTTCTTTCTTAGAAAATTTTTTAATTATTCCAATATTCTCATTATCCTCACTTTTATTTTAAATATCTTATACGTACTACATTCTGGACGCGATGAAAGTAAGATTTCTATCATTAGAGGCGTTGATTACATTGAGCAGTGTTCCAATGAAATCCAAAAATCTAAAATCTATATGTCATACAATCTGATAAGGTTGTATATTTGCTATACTTTTCTAGAATTGGCAAATAATATCGCACAATTTTTTTGATTCTTTGACAATAATATCATTCAAAGTTAAACTATTCTTTTGATAATCATCCCATATGATATATATCCATCATTTTAGTATATTCAATTTCTTTCTTTTAGAACCTTATGTAGCAAAACCAATGTTATCTCGATCTGCATCCGTTTACAATGATGTCATCATATGTGAACAGAAATCTAACAACCTTGATCGACTGTCTTTGTGGTATAAACAAATTTCAAGTATATATACGAATATCGATGAACTACAATTTATGAATTGGGGTTACGCAGATTTGGATGAGCATACTGATGACAATACTGGTTACTATTCGAAGAAACTTTATCAACAAGTAAGTGAAGACGAATGAAAAAATCAAATACATTTGAGTTGAAATATTTGTGATATAGTATCATAGAGTAACTTTTGATGCTTGAATTAATTAATAAGAATCTTACTAATACCATAATTTTAGTTACCGTACTACTTATAAACTAAAACATAAAAATCACAATAAAGAGAAATCAATTTATTCATTACTTTAATGGAGATATTTCCATGAACAGTTGCAACTTCCATTTGATTGTACATGATAACGTCCTATAACATATTTTACAAGAAGTGAATCAAAACAAATTTCATATACCGGAAAGTAATACAGTTACTACATTTTTTTAGAATATTATCATATACATGATCTGGAATGTAATAGTGTACTGTTTGTGTATTTCTAAGAGGAATATCTGATAAACACAAAATCTTATAGTAATCTTTAATGAGACTTCTGATGGAAAGAAGTCACTTTATCATAAGTATTCGACCAGTGATAGATAATTAATCGAAGTATTAGTTGTGACAATATCAACATAAGATCTAAATGTTTTCCTCAAAAATATATTAGAAAATATGTAGAACTACTAGGTCCGTCTTAATCTGGTTCTGTATTTCTCAAAAAAAGTGAACAATAAATGAAATGATGAGTGACAAATGTAGTAGCAGTCATTATTAGAATATTTTATTTTTCACTCTAGGTTCTTGCTAATGTAACATTCACAGATCGAAATATACTCGAAGTGGGTTGTGGTAGAGGTGCTGGTGCTGCATGGTGTGTTCGTACATATGCTCCTCGATCTTATGTTGGAACTGATCCTTCTCGAGATGTTATTAACCTATGTCAACAATGTTATTCGACAACTCCTCGACTCTCATTTATGATAGCTGATCCAGAAACTCATTTGCCATTGCAAAATGAGTCAATGAATGTTGTTCTCTCAATTGAAACAACAAATCTTTTTGATGAAAGAGAAGCAGTGAAGAAATTCGTCGATGAAATTACTCGTGTGCTTACTCCAAATGGATACTTCCTGTGGTGTGGATTGTGTAATGTAGATGGATCAAGTGTACTGATTGATTATTTAATAGCAAATAATGCATTTATAATTAAAGAGAAGGTCAATATTACAAGAAATGTTCTTCATGCACTTGACATTCAAAGGAACTCACATGCTGATTTTATTGAGCGTTATATTCAACCTGCAGATCAAGAATACTGTCGTCTATTTGCTGGATTACCTGGTACTCAACTTTATGATAATATGCAACAAGGGTGTACAGAATATTGGCGAGTTGGATTCCGCAAGAAGATAATAAAAAAGACACTTCATATTCAATACTAAATGTTGACTTTATATTACTAACATTTTTCTTTTTTAAACTAACCCAGATATTTATGCTTACTAAATGGCGGTACTTTACTCTAATCTTTTCCAATTCCTTACTTTTTTTGGCAATAAATAAATAGACAAATTAATTACCGTAGAATACTTTGCGAGGGTGTAAATATGAGATGAATATATACATGCCTCATATCCTCATAGTTCAAACAGATATTTTCATTTAGTTTACGCCTCACTCTAAAAGAATGAACTATTGTTAGAGGAATCAAAAAATCGTCGTCATTCTCAGATACCAGTGTCTATCGAGTTATCTAAAGTACCGTGGAATTTCTTAGCAAAGTGTCAAAAGACAAGTATTATTTATTTACACTAAAATGATGTTTGTATTCTTACATTTGGTTTGATTTTTATCTAAAGGTTACGGAACTTTGATTGACACATAGAACAAGAAAACAGGCTCCTGTCTTTATAAAAGAACTTCAGAACTTTCTTCAATCACGGTATTTGGAGGTCTTCTCATACTACGTTTTGTGCAGAAAGGTTTACTCTCTCACGAAGGAGCCATCTGAGGCGATATCTCCCGTTCGAGCTCATATTTTGCTTATAAGTATAGCTCATAATGTAGATAAAAACCCTAAAAGGAT